TCACCTGGTCATAAAAGGATATAATATTGGTCAAGCAAGACCTACCTGCAACAAACCCATGCTAGCTGTCCCTTAGGATGCTGCCATTGGCCAGTCTGTTAAGAAAGGTCTCTTTGATAATCTTTTCTAAGACCTTCCCCAGGATAGAGGTTAGGCTTATGGGCCTGTAGTTCGCTATGATGCTTGCCAGCTCCTAGAGTACCCTGGGTATAAACTGTCAGGGCCAGATGACTTGAAGGTGTCCAGCCTCTCAAGGTGTTCCTTCACAAGGTCAGCATTGATGGAGGATAAGGAATCACCCTCACCCAGGCGTTTTCATCCCGTAATGGGCAGGGGTGTCCCATGGGACAGGTGAAAGACCGATGCAAAATACCCATTTAGCAAGTTGGGTTTTTCATGTGCATTGGTTGTCAGCTGTCCCATCTGGTTTAGCAGGAGTCCAATGTTACCCTTGCTTTACCTCCCACTCCCCACATATCTAAAAATGACTTTTTATTGTCCTTGATACTTGTAGCTATTTGGAGCTCAGTTGAAGCCTTGGCTTTCCTGGGTCACTCCCTACAGGTCCAGAACAGTGCAGAATATTCCTCCCTGGAGGTGGATCTAGTCCTCCATCCTTTGTAGGTCTTTCTTTTTAGATGCAGGAGGTCTGCTAGTCTCCTGCAGAGCCAAGGGGGCTGCTGTGCTCTTTTGCTGCCTTTCCTCTGAGTCAGTATAGACTTTACTTGTGCATGCAGGTTCTCTCCCTTGAGGAGCAACCACTCATCCTGACCTCCCCTCCCCTTTGGGTCATGGTCCCTTAGGGCCTCACTGACAAGCCTCCTTGAGCTTGTCAAAGTCAGCTTTCCTGAAGTCAAGGACCTCTGTATTGTTGACTGACTTGCCAGCTTTACAGTGGATGGTGAAGGTGATCAGCTCATGGTCACTGTCACCCAGCTTCCCTTTGATCATGAGGTTGCTGATTAGGTCATCCCCCTGTTACCAGTATCAGGTCAAGCAGTGTTTTACCTCTCATCAGCCCGTAGACTTCTTGTGTCAGATAGTGCTCATCCATGCATGAAAGCTTTGCGACTGTTCAGATTTGGCCGAGCGCTCTTCCCACAAGATGTCTGGGTAGTTGAATTCTCCCATAACAACCATGCACTGGGAGCATGCAGCTTCAGTCATGACTTTCCCCGCAACCCCAGGCACCATCACTTTAAAGGGGGAAAAAAAGAAAAGAAAAAAACAGAAACAAAAATCTCTACTTACCCTAGAAGCAGGGCTGGGGGAAAAGGGCTCCAGGGCCTCCTGGAAAAACCCACCCCAGGCAACACAGGGCAGCAGGGGCAGGGGGGCCTGAGCTGGGGCCACTGGGGCTGTAACCTTGCCCCACAATATGTGGGTGGGGCCCCAGTGAGCCAGACGGCAGCCAGACTGCCGGTAAGTG